GAGCGGGTCCGCTACGCCATCGCCGAGGAGCTGGGCAGAGGCTCGCTCGTGGGGCCGCTGGCGCGGGACCTGGGGCTCAGCGCGGACGAGCTGCCGGCGCGCAAGCTGCGGCTGAGCGAGGAGAAGCAATACTTCACGGTGAATGAGGAGAACGGGAACCTGTACGTGAACGAGAGGCTGGACCGCGAGGAGATGTGCGGCGAGTCGGCGACCTGTTCCGTCCGCTTCGAGGCGCTGGTGCACAACCCGCTGAACGTTTTCCATGTCGAGGTGGCCATTGAGGATGTGAATGACAACTCCCCGACCTTCAGTAAGGCTGCTCTGGAATTGGAGATTGGTGAATGGACGCTTCCCGGTGCTCGTTTTCCCCTGGAAGTGGCCCGAGATGCCGACGTGGGCAGCAACTCCCTTCTGATTTATCAGCTCACAGGCAACCCGTCCTTCACTTTGGCCATGACGGAGAGTCCTGGTGGAAGCAAGCAGCCGGAATTAATCCTGGAGAGAGGGTTGGACCGGGAGAAGCAGAGTTCCTTTGAACTGCTGCTGACAGCAGTAGACAGCGGGGACCCCGCAAGGTCTGGGACTGTCGAGGTCCTTATTAACGTGACGGACTTAAACGACAACCTGCCTGTGTTCAGCAAAAGCCTCTACGAGGCGAGAGTGGCGGAGAATTTGCCACTCGGGTCTCTGGTGCTGCGGGTAGAGGCGACAGATGCAGACGTGGGCACCAACGGGCAGGTGTCCTACTCCATCGTCAACATCCCAGAAAGCATCCGAACGTTGTTTACTATTGATAGTGAGACTGGCGAAGTCAGGACCACAGGTCCCCTCGATTACGAGGGACAGAGTAAATACATCTTCCGCCTGGAGGCTAGAGACGGCGGTGGGCTCACGAGTCACTGCGAAGTGCAGATCGACATCACGGACGAGAATGACAACGCTCCCGAGATTACGATTCTGTCGCTGTCGAGTCCCGTGCCCGAAGATTCGCCAGTGGGCACCGTGGTGGCCGTGCTGAAAGTTCGGGACAGAGACTCCGGCGAGAACGGTCAGGTGTCGTGCGAGCTGTCGGGCGAGGCGCCGCTGTCGATCGTGGCGTCGCCGGGCGGCTCGTACAAGGTGGTGACGGCGAG